TATCTTCGTTTAATAATCTACAACAATTATGAATCAAGTGCATGTCAAGAAATTTTGCCGATACTATATTATTTCTCTTTTTTATTATGATCCTCTCTCTCTCTCTCCGTTCCGATACTTCTTTTACTATAAATTTCTTGATATCCTTAAAAAATTTTTAGTATCTTAACCTTGACCTACATTGATTTTTTCCTTAATAATGGAATTTTTTTAAAAAAAAAAAATTCCCGAAATCTAACCAATTATAATATCAAAATATCTTATATAAATTCCGCCGGAAAATCTTTGAATCTTTAATATTTTACATTTTACGTATATCCCCCAAAATCTCTTAAAACTTATCATGTCAATAATGTCGATTGATTATTTGTCAGAATGGAATTTTATATTCCCCATTTTCATCGTCAGTTATCCGAACTTAGTTATCCGAAAATTTTTTTTTTTTTTTTTTTTTTTTAAAAAAAAAAAATAATATTGTTTTTTTTTACAAAAGATGAAAATCTTTTAATACTAAATTTGGTAATTCATTCAATATATATATTGAGAAATTTGTGTATAAAAATTATTTTTGACCGAGATTCATTTGGAAGATCATTTCGTAATAAAATAAAAAGAAAAATTAGGTTATTTATTTTATGCACCTTTTTTTGCCAAGAGTTACGCGGTCGGAGATATATAAAGTAAAGTGTCAGTTTTTTTAATAGGTTATCGCGGTATTCCCCTTTATTTGGTGATTGATTATGTCGATTATTTAAGATCACGCCACCATTTTTCTTAAAAGATTTTCCAAATGATATCAATATAATAATTCATTGATGATAATAATGTAATTATTATTATTATTATTATAATTATAATAATGTGAAATAATTTATATGCTTAATTAATAACTTTGTTACTTTTAAAAGTTAAAAAGGGTGAAAAATCGGGGTTAGATGTATTTAAATCGGACTACTCGGAAATTAATCTAATTTTCTAATTTTGGTATTATAATAATAAATGATGAATTTTTAATTCCGGTCAATGGTATACCTTGTTTTGGACTTTTGGATTATGGATTACCAAGAAAAAAAAATTTTTTTTTTTTCTTTTAAAAAAGTTGATCATTAAAAGGTTAGTTAATTAAAAGGTAAAAAGTAAAAAGTAAATGGTAAATGGTAAATGGTTAATAAGGTTAATAAGGTTAATTTAAAAAAAAAAGTGATATTAAAGAAATTATAAAAATTTCAAAAGGTAGGTTTATACGATAATTAAAAGGTAATAATAAAAAATTGACCACCGGGAATTATTAAAATCACATGATATAATTTCCAAATTGTATGATAGTATTATTGATAGCATTATTGGTAGTATTGTTGATAGTATAATTGGTAGTATTATTGATAGTATTATTAAATTTTTTAAAATTTTTAACCTTGTTAATAAAAAAAAATTAAAAGAATATTTTTTAAAAAAAATGTTACTATAAAAAAACTTTTTAAATCCAATAAAATGCCGTAATTCTGTAATTCTGATACTTTGTAATCCCGATTTCCAAAAATCCTGAAATTGAAAATCCAGGCTATTTCAAAAATCCCAACACTTACAAAATCCCGAAATTCAATAATCCTGATATTTATCAAAATCCCGAAATTCAATATTCAATTTCAAATATTTCAATTCATTTTAATAAGCTTATTGTTGAATAATATATAGTTTTTCATGACTAAAATATGTAAAAATATGAAGACTATCTGTAACAGTTTTTGTGAAGTGAGAAAAGTTTACTTTTTAATATAAATCTAATTATATATAAATTTTTAATTAATTATAAATCTATCGGTATATTGAATTTCGGGATTTTATGGCTTAGGATTTTCAATTTCTTATATATATATATACGGGATTTTCAGTTTTTGACAGTATGAGTGTCGAGATTATAAATTTAGAGATTTCGTAAGATTAATGCACAGTACAATATCGGAAAAATTCTTGCCGAAGAATAGGGGCTGTGCGCGTAATTACTAATGAAGTTCCGGGAATTGCTTTCACCTGCAAAATTTCCTAATTGTGGAAAAAAGAATTATGATACATAACTAACTACGAATCTATCGAATTAAAAAGTGGCACCTTTGAGTACAATGTTCTTTATTGCGTCATCGCGTTTTTGTACTGCGTGTGCGTTTGCAAGTTCTTTTGTTTGTATAATCAATTCGCTTTGCTTTTGTAAAAAGAAACCTGAAGATTAGTTTAAAGTTTGTGGTTATAGTATAATGTACATAAGGTTTGATGAAAATTTTTAAGTAATAATATTGATAAATTAATGATTTAAAGTTTTTGTAGATAATGAATTCTTAAATTTTTAAATAATGTTTAATTAAAATTTTGTTTAAAAAAAAAGTTTAAAATTTGAAAATAAAGTTTTAATTAACAATGTAAACGGAGAAATAAAGTTTGATATAATAATGTAAACCTTAAATGATCTGGATGCCTTGTGAGTTTATTAGATTTGCTTTTATCTTGCAGTTTGTACCGTTTTATTGTATTCTTCCTCCATGCTGTTGTGCCTATATGTGTGCAACCCTGAATTGTGTTTCCATTTTCTTTGCATGTATTTATACGCATCGCTACCCAATTTGTGCAATGTTGATTTATATTTTTTCCTTCACGCTAATCATTCTTTATCTCCTCCGATATGTCTGCTTCAAGTGAGTCTTCTGTATCATATAAAAGAACCCTGAATTGTGTTTCCATTTTCTTTGCATATATTTATATGCATTGCTACCCAATTTGCGCAATGTTGATTTATATTTTTTCCTTCACGCTAATCATTCTTTATCTCCTCCGATATGTCTGCTTCAAGTGAGTCTTCTATGTCATATAAAAGAAGATTGCAAAGAGAAAGAGCTGAACGTCACCGACAAAGAAGATTCTGTTTTTATCTGGGAAATATGGATCAGATGTGTTACACTGTCAAGATTTGTTTGTATGAGTCTATGAGAAGGATCGAAACAGCAGCCTAAGTTTGCTATGTGCGGTTGGCAAGGTCCACTTACTCCTGTGCTTGATCCTCCCCTTTATCTACTTGATTTATATATTCATCCTGTTCAGAAGCATTAAGTTTTCGTAAAAACATCAGAGCTTATTACAACGGAATTTTGGCATACTCATCTTTTGGTACTAAGCCGATTGACGAAAACTTCAAGGTAAAGGTGAATTTTAAAATTCATGGCCAAATTTATCATCGCATAGGATCTTTGATATCAAAACACAGTATTTGCTCAGCTCTATATTTATGACTGATTATGAAAATAACAATCAGCTTCACGTTATGTGTGATCTGAATGCCAAAATTTTGCAGAGTTTGCAGGATATGTTAGATACTTATAACCAATATATCCAGAATTTTCACCAAGAGATTTGCTTCAAAATGATAGTGATCATTCACATAATGCCCATCATTACAATGCTCCTGCTGCTTCTGATGTTGCTGCAATTATAGTTGGTGATGGTTATGAAATTGAACTGTCTAGATAGGACTCGCTTACTTATAATAAAGGTCACCATAAAAAATTGGCCCTTTACTAATAGTTTTTACCTTATTTTTTTCTTAAATTCTATTGGTTAATTAGCTAAAAAGGAAAAAAATCATAACAATGTAACATAAAATTTCCTTTTATAGTATGATCTACAAAGAATTTTATATATGATTTTTACCTTAGGCCTGGAGGTGACCTATCTTATAAGATAGCGCCCTGGTGATACAACTATAATAAGGTGGTAAGCAGAGTCCTGTCTAGATATTGTTCTTAATTTTTGACAAAGAATATCTGAATTATATATTCAAAAACATGACTGAATCCAAAAGTTTCGAAATCTGAAATGAAATCAATTCTGAAACTATTTTATAATTCTGACCAATTTTTTTGGTGTTGGCCAGAACCATATATAACACGTGACACTGATAAATGTTACATAAAGAAATTTTTCAGTGATGAAATTTTGTGTTACATCAATATTACACAAACTTTATAATGCCAGCCAGAAAACCCAACTTTCAACTTTTGGCTGGAGTTTCATTTTAGAATGATTGGCCAAATGTCAAATCCTGAAATTATTTCGAAATTGCCGAGTATATACTGCTGTTCCCAAACGGTTTTTTTTCATGGCCAACTGTATATTGCTTTGTCGAGAATTACTTCATATTAGAACATTAAAATTCTTATAAATAATGGTTGTGGAAACCCACATATAAATTTGTGCAAGTTAAACCAATTTTTTTAATCGTTCTTTATAAAATTTTGATTATCTTTATCACATACTCATGTGTATATATGAAGATTATCATTGTCATGTATATTGTATACGAGTTTTTTTTTAAATTTTTATTTTCACATTTATTGTTTCAATTTATTATTTGTTGCACCATCTGAATCACCTGTTGCGAAGCAGCAGGCTATAGCTAGTCATATATTAAAAAAAGGTGTTATTAACAAGACATTGGTATTAAATTACAGATGGTGGTTATGATAAAAAAAGATTGGCAAATGATAACTATCCCAGTGACACCCGAAAAAATTCTGCAATGTCACATCATGTGAGATTAGATGTGATATTTCCGCAACTGTTCAATAACCTTTTATGGAAATTCATTTATTCTGTATAACATAACAGTTTATTATACTATTATTACTATATAATTCCTTTATATAGAAAGTCTACTTGTATATATTTTTTGTAAAAAAAAATAATACTGAGCGTGAAAATATATTTTATTATTTGTTATTTCTTCCCATTTATATACCAATATATAATTCTTTAATTTTATTTACAAAAAAAAATAGGTAAATAAGTATGTACACGTTGTAAAATATGTAGAGATCTGCTACTTTTTCAAGGAAAAAATAAAAAGTTTTAAACAATGCAAGTTATGTCGTGATGAAGGAAAGCTTTATTATCAGCAAAACAAGGAAAATAGTGATCCTATAAATTATGATGAAAAAATTTACAATTATAAAGAAATGTTCACTGCATTAAAGAAATTAATTTATTCAGTGGGACAGGAAGAATATGTTAAAAGTTTTGATTGTGGAATAGCTTTTGTTCAAATAATTTCAATAGAAGGTTTTAATGGTTCAGTTAAAAAGATTGCAGATATTATAAAAAATATTATATGTGAAAGTGATGAATACTATTATATGTAAGTTCTTTTTAAAAGATTTTTTTTATTTATTATTTAATGATGATCTAATATAATATTTTACTAGAATTCATGATAGTTATTAATCAAAAAAAGAGAATTGTATTTATAATTTTTGCTACAAATGCTCACAAAATTCTAGTTTGGCAAAAAGACCTAAAAAAATTAAAGATCTATTAAAACAGCGTGATAAACGGTCTATTGAAAGATTTAATTGCAATGGGATACTTAAAATTAAAATAGATATTGATTCAAAAACTGCTATTGTTCAACTTTACCATGATTTAATTTATGATAGATCAGAAAAGTTTAATATAAATCAAGAGATTAAAAGCTTTATAAAAGATAGACTTTGTCAAACACCTGCAGAAATATTTAGTCAATTAGAAATCAATAATCTCAACTTAACACAAAAACAATGCTACTACTGGTAAACTGAACTAATTAAAAAAGAATTTTAAAAGGATCCAGATCAACTAAAATCAAGTTTATTATTACTAAAAGAAAATAATAAAGAGACAATTATGCAAGATATTGTAGGAGATATTAAATATTTTGCATTTATTACACCATACTTATTTATAATCAAGAGATCTTTATTGATGCAACTTGCAAGTATTACACTGTATTTTTTTTTTTTGCTCTTTTTTTTTAATTATTTCTATTAATATCAGCGAAAAGTTTAGATGCTTTCAAAGAATTGCTCTGGCTAGTCCGTAGATATGCATTTTAGGCTCAGTCTATCTTGAAAAAGAAATAATCGATACCCTCACTACTTTCATACTTCTGGTATCATTTCATCATTATAGTTATCACAGAAGGATAACACCAAATCGTTGGGACTGGAATTATGGATGTCAGGAATTTATGAATTTAGGGATTTTGTATCAGATTCATTATTTTAATACAGATTAAAAAAAAAAGAAAAGTATGAACTAAATGGTTTCTAATTATTTCAAAAGAGAGTTCCATCATCTTATTCTTAGTAGAGTAGGATATAGGATTAGTATCAGACATGTGATTTATTTAAACATTTTATTAGTATTTTAAGTAAAGTAAACATTTCAGTAAAGTAAACATTTCCAAGTATTTTTTCCTAAATTCAGTAAAGTAAACATTTCGAAATATTTTTCTATACTGTATTTAGTAAAGTAATTTTATTACTATATTAATAAATCAAAAAATCCATTTGTTATATTATATAATTCTTTATTAAAAATACTTAAAATTTTTTTATAAATTTTATTTATAATTAATCTCTATATACTAGTATTGTCATTTTAGAAAAAAGTATTAATATATCAAATTATTAATTATTAGTAAATTTTAATAAATTGTAATTTGTAATGTTAAATGTTAATTAAGTACAGTCAACTCCCTCTATAGTCACTCCCGTTATAGTCACATTCTACTATATAGTCACACCAGTTGAATGTTCAAAATACTTTATTATTAAAATCTATCCTATATAGTCACAATCTATCTATAGTCACTATCACACCTATCCTCAAAAATCTTATATTAAAAAGAACCGTTTATAATCACAGTTATATAAAGAATATATTAAATAACTTGGCATCTAATAATCGTACAAAGATGTATCATAGCTTGTTAGAATCGTCTCACTGAGACGAATCGAATGGTGGTAGTTTTATCCTTTTCCGATCACTGGCTGACGAGTTATTCAACAAAATGTTAAACATCGGCATTATAATATTTCTTGATTTACGTTTACTGCGCCATTTAACATTTTGCTAGATTTCTCGGTACCTAGTGATTGTAAAAAGACGATTTATAGCTCGTTGGAATCGCCTCATCGAGACGAATCGAATGGTGGTAAGCTCATCTCTCTGTGATCAATATTGACGGAGTTATTACTTAAAAACTATTTAATATTTTTTAATTTCGGAAATTGATCTAGTGATTGGATTTCGATGTATCTTATACCATTAGATTCGTCTCATCAAGACGAATCGAATGGTAGTAAGATCGTCTCTCTAGGATCAATATTGGCAGAGTTATTACACAAAAACCATTAATATTTTTTTAATTTCGGAAATTAATCTAGTGATTGGATTTCGATGTATTTTATACCATTAGAACCGTCTCATCAAGACGAATCGAATGGCAGTAAGATCATCTCTCTATGATTAATATTGGCGGAGTTACGATACAATAAAGTTTTGAGTATAATTTTGGCTAAAATTATGTTAATTTTTAGCCGGAATTATGATATACTAATATAAGAAATTTTTTATATAGTCACATCTCTTTATAATCACCAAATATGGACTGTCCCAAATGTGTGACTATAAAGAGAGTTGACTGTATTTAATTTTAGCCTAATATATTAATAATATATATTTATATTATAAAATAATATAAAAAATCAATATATTATTTTTATTAATTGTAAAAAAATTTAAATAGATAAAATAGATATCAAAAATTCAAAATATTCATTTTAATGAGATAAATCTAACAATTCTAAAATTATTAAAATTCAATTACTAATTCTTAAAATAGCAAAATTTAATGCTAAAAAGTTAATATAATTTTATATAAAATTTATTATAAGATTTATATAAAAATCAAATCTGAGTTTTTTTAGTATTATTTAGATTTTAATTAATATAAGATTTTGGATATTTTTAAAATAAATTATAAATTATAACTTTTAATAAATTATTAATCTATTTTTTTTTTAATATTTTTTAATATTTAATAATTCAATTTTAAGAAACTTTTTTTATTTTATAACTCTTAAATTTTATAATTTATTAAATTGAATTACTAAATGCTAAAAAATTTGTCAAAAGTCAATTATAATTTATATTTTAAATATTTAAAAATCTGTTAATATATTTAAGAAATATAATATTATTCAATAAGTTAATAAAATAAGATATAATAATTAAAATCTTTTTTATAAATAAAATAATATTTATTAATAATCTACTATATATATTTAAACTCTTTATTTTTGTTATAAATTCAATAAAATAATTGAAGTATTCTACTAAACAAATTTATATAAAGTAATTTTTTTATATTATTAATTATATATTTCTTTAAAATAAACCTATTACTTTACTATACTATATACCATATATTTTTATTATTTAAATACAATAATAATCTAATAATTAAGTAGTTTACCACTTTTGCCTATTAATATAATTTCAAAATTTGTTAATAATTTAAAATTTTTACTATTAATAAGTAAAATTCAATTTATTAAAAATTATTATATCAAATATTACTTTATTAAAATTTAAATAATAATAATTTCAAAATTTGTTAATGATTTAAAATTTTACTAATTTTCATTATACAGTAAAAATAGAAGTTTATATAATTGTACTTATACAATTAAATTCAATAAAAATTCTATTCAATTACATTTGAAAATTTAAAAAAATAAAAAAAATAATAATATAATATAATATATTATATTTTTATTTTTTAATATTTCTTGAAAAAATTAAATAAATTATATATGTTGCCAAAATAATTTTTAATTTCAAATTAATTTTAGCTTTATAATATAATTCTATAATATGTAATTAATGTAAATATAATTATCTGAAATTTGTCAGAAGATTTTACTGGATTTTAAAAAGTATAAAAAAGTTTTTAAATAATTTTAATTTTATTAACAATAATTTTAGTTAGATTTATATATATTTTAAATATATAAAGTTAATTAATAAGATGGAAATTATTAAAAATTTCTCTATATTTTCTGAATTTTAGCAAAAATTTCTACCAAGTTTTAATTGGTTATTTTTATATACTTTAAAATTAACTGAATTAATCCAAAATTAAAAAATTATTTTAATAACATTATTTATAAAATAAATATTAATAATTAAATAAAAAAAAAGTAAAGTTAAATATTAAAATATCTTACTTATATTAAATATTATAACTTTTATAATATGATTATAAAAAACTTTATTATAATTCACTTTAGAGAAATATATAATAAATGCCTTATATAGCAATTGCAAAGTGAAAATATTACAAACTGAAATAAGAAATTACATAAAATATTTGAATTAATATTAAAAGAATTTTACTTAATAATAAAATATAATTTAAAATATACTTTTATTATAAAATACAATTCAGAGAGAAAATTTTTTATTAAAAGAGTATTAATATCATTTAAACTTATCAAATATGTATTTAAAACTATTACAACATACTGAATTGAAAAAGAAATAATGTCAACAAAAATAATGAAATTTGTAAATAATCTAATTGGTAAGCCAGTATTGAAGAAGACTGATACACTATATATAATATAGATGTTATAATTTATAAATATAAGATTATCAAAAGATTCCTTTCAACAGGACAGAACATATACTTTTGAGAATTTAGAAAAGATCTTTAATACAATACTGGTATAAATATTCTTCTTATAAACTTCCAAAAATATTTTTGTGCTAGTGTTAAAACTGCTAAGAAACTTAAAATATACAATATTTAAATTATTGGTATACAAATTATTTCTTATATTATATATATATACTGATATATTAATATTGATATAACAATTTTTGTAGAAGATTGGATTATATTGTTGGAAATATCTCATAGGTTAGAAGTGCTATTTTTCTATTTGCTTTATCTTTTATAGAAGAATATATACATATTTTTGAGCTTATATTATACTATATATTCTGTTTTAGTTTTATAATACCTAATCCTATCAAAATAAGTTAATCATTTCAACAGTTTGAAATTACCTTATTTTACAATTATAATATTTATGTATTTAATGTTAATTGCATGCAAAACAGGCAAATTAATAATTAGATAAAGTTGTTTAATAGCGTTAAGGCTGCTTATATTTGAATTTTCATAAAAATATAATATTAAAAAAGAATTATAACTTCAAGGTGTTATTTCACCATTTTGATTAAATAAAATTAGCTGTTTACACTTAAAGTAAATTGGTAAATTATTTGTATATCAATTTTAATAAGATGTAAAAAATATACTATATATACTATATATAATAGTAACCAATTTTGAATAGAAATTAAAATATAAAAAAGTGTATTTATATGTATTGTTTGTTTTTAAATTAAAAACCTTATTTATTGAACAAAAAATGGTTAATGATTCAGGGCAAATCACATGAAAATTACATATTTCATTTGCAATCTCCTACAATTAAAAAACAAACAAAAATCACGCGCAGATCTTATCTGTTAATAAAAAAAATGACTCATTAAGTTCATCATGTGATCTTTTATCGAGTTAGGTTTCTCCTTTTTTTTTTTGCTTTACGATTCGATAAATTCAAAGATGTTTAGTTTTTGTAGCACAAATTTCCCCAACTAATATTTCGCCCCAATTTTTCTCCTCAATCTCTTTTAAAACATTGCATAAGAAAGTAATCATTGGACAATTTTTTTAAAAAAAAGAACTGATCATCTGTTCATGTATGTCTTGCGCGTTAAGTACGACTTTAGAATTAGAATAATTAAACATTTTCTCTTTGTTATTAGAACTTTATTTATAAAAGAGAACAAAAAGAAACAAAGAAAGATAAACTAGATTTAGAAATCAGAACGATGATGAAAATGATGTTGTGTAATATATGAAGATGTAGAAACGTGTTCGTATGGAAAGAATTGTTTATTGTAGTAGTCATTTTTATTCGGTCCGAAATCAAAATTTAAATTACCAGACAAGATTTTATCTGAGCTGATCCTGAGTCACCATTCATTAATATGTTCCACTACTTTAATGCTACCGAGAATTACTTAAAATGGAAATAAAAATATAGATCAAAGTTGAGGTACTTGACTTTGAAAAAAGATAGAAAGTAGAATAACATTTCAAGAAACTATTTACTTAAAATGGATAAATAATTCCTTATCGTTTCTCAAATTATACTCGTACATCATAACAAGTTTTTATACTTGGTGAAAGATTTGATTATAGATAAAACATAAGATAGAAAACAAGTAAATAAACAAGTATATCTAATGTATCCCAAACTTTAATTTTTGTCAGCCGTAATTACAATCTGTACATAATCAAGCACGTAAAAACCGATCTGATGTCAAAATTAATTATAAACAAAATAGTAATGAGATATTAATTAATCGACACGTTATCCCTTAGATAATTGTAGATGATTTGGAACAGGTCTTTGTGCCTGAAATTAGTTTTTAATTGTTGTTCTTTGTTTCATAAGTTTTTATACAATAAAGTATTCTCTTCCGGGGTCTATTCTAATTATATCTTATTTGTGTAAAAATTGTCTGATTTTTTTATTTATTTTTTTATTTATTTAATTTTTATTTACATTGTTTCTGAATTCGTTTTTTTTGTTTTAATTGATAACCAATACAAACGATATTAGATGGTACAAGTGGTGCAGATGGTACAAAAAAATGATGTAGCTGGTACACATACAAATTATTTGCGGGCTAACTTATCAAGTGAAATAATTTATAATTTTTTTTATGCATTTTTGTTTCCTCGTTTGAATTTCTTTTTTTTTTTGAAGTAGAAAAAAACATTTCCTTAATATTTCCTTAGTTCCTAAAATCTCGATGAAATTCTGCTGGTAAAATCCTGAAATTTTGCTGAGATTCTGTAATATGTATAATCCCTTTAAATTGAAATAATAAATTTTTTGTTATAAGTTTAATACAATTATTAAAGCAAATGATTTAGAAATTTAATAAATTACATTGCAGATTATTTATAAATTTCCATTTAATCTTTATCTTTTCTTTAAGTAAATTAATTAAAAGTCTCAAATCTCATAATAAATATTGTATGCTATTCCACGATCTCTCCGAATATCAATAATTCTTCTTTATCAACCAAACCTCTTTTTTGCTTTGGACGAAGAAATAATACATCAGCTTGAACATCTACTTGTTCTATTACTTTTTGTGATACCGCAAGCTCACAAACTTCACATTGTTTGAAAAAAAATCGATTTTCTAGTAAAATACAACAAAAATACATTAATTGTGATTGTAATTTTATTAGCGATGCAAAACGTCCGAATATAGAACTTAAATTATAATACGTTTAATTTTTTTTTTTAAATAAAAAACTTCGGGATTTGACTGCCAGGATTTAGTATCGGGATTATAGACTGTCAAGATTTGGATGTCGGGTTTTTGTGGTAAACCCCTAAAATTCATTTTGATGATTTTCACAATGTGATCAGTGGTAAGGGCGATACTGTATAAAATTTGAAAGTTTTGTTCTCCTTCTATGACTAACATAAAAATGGAATTCTTTAATAATTATTTAATAAAAACATGTGGACTTTGATATTTTAAAATTAAAGTAGACTATGATAAAAATTCCAAATTGATTAAATTATTTATTTGCTCTTCTCCCTTAAATATTTTGTTCTGGATTGCCCATTCTCACATGACCACATAATGACAAAGAACTAAAACATGTAGAAAACTCTACATGTGGACTTCATTGCTTATAGCTTACTAAAAAAAAATCGGTAATCTCGTAAGTATCCAATATAATAATCAAATTCATTGAAACGTTTCATTTAAAAGATATTCCACCCACTTAACTGTGAATTATCCTTCATTGAATATATATATATAATATCACACGACACGATCAAACTCTCAAGAGACGCTTACTTATTCTTCAATGACAACAAAGAGTTACTTAAATGTAGAATAAAGAAAAAAATATTTAATGTTTCCTCAATCAACCTTTTTATCGTATTATTGTCATATCATAATAATCATATGCTAATGATTGCTGAAGATACTTCATATCATGTTTGATCTTTGGTGTAAATTTCTGTTCAGTTGGAAGAAATGAAGTTTGATAAACGGATTCAATAATCAAATTTAGTTATGTTAATGTTTTTAGATACGACATTCATTTAAATTTTTTTAGAATCACCTGTATAACGGGTGACAAATGAAAAGATAAATTTTCTACTCTAACTCTAGCCTAAATAAAAGGTTATATAATCTTTTTTTTTTTCTGTCATATTTTAATTCGAATTCGTAATAAGTTTTCTTTATAAGATCTATTATTTTATTCTTTGTTATTTTCAGTATCCAAAAATTGGATGAAATTCTACATCGTCATTTTAGTAATTTTTTTTTGTTAAGGATATCCAATATTTTAAGAAAATTCAAAAATTAAATTTGTTTTCTAAGTAGTTTGAAATTTTTTATTCAAAATAATGTGACTAAGTCCTTAATAATTAATTATATTACATTTTATTAGTCTAATGAGGAAAAAAAAAAATCCTTTAAAACTGAGAAGATTCATTATTAAGTAGCTCTCTTAACAGATCGCTTACTACAGGTAATTTTGCTGTAGTCGTATTAGATGAACTAGAAGTCTCCCCTTCTTCATCACTTGCAGGGTCTTTGCCTTTTCTTCTTCTAACTCCTTCGGAAGTTTCTTTCGTATTTTCTAATCTCTTTCTATCAATAGCATTAACCATTCGTTGAAACTGAAGAAAAAGGGTCTCGGCTCGTAGTAATGTTTCGTCAAGACGAATATTCATAGAAAGTTCATTTACATACTAAATATTTATTTAGAAAGAAAGAAAGAAAGTTAAAATTATAGATCAAAAATAAATACAACTATTTTTTTTCATACACTTGCCTTTAATATTTCATCAAACTGGTTTAAATTTTCCATTATTATGTCCCGATGTTTATCTAAAATGGCTAAGGCAAAAAATAGATGAAATTGGGGACTTAAATAATCGGTCCAAAGTACTTCCCATAAATAAAGTACATCGTCCCATTTGAACTCCCTTTTGAACCAAATAAGTATCCAGCGGAAACAGAAAAATAGATTTAATGATTCTGTTTTTTCTGTGAAACAAAAGTAACATAAGGATCATAAATATCATTATAATATGTTGACTTACAACACGAAAAACTACATTAAATAACTTACGAAGGTGTTTATATAGGCGAGGATCCATAAATTGAATTAAATGATCAAGTGTTAAAAGTTGTTTTCTCATGCTAACTTGATCTCTATAGAAATTTGATTCCTATCAATAATCACGAAATAAATAAAAAAAAAAATAATTATAAACATGCAACTTATTAGTCTTAAAAATAACTTAAATGGACATGTACCACACGGTTCATAAATCCCACGAAAGCCCAAAATGCTGTAATTTCGTCACGCATTACGACATACACTGGTGCCAATAAGTCACTCATACCTTGGACATATCCTATATATAATGATTGGTTTTTTTAGAGTTCTGCTTGTTGTATAAAATTAAAAAAAAAACTCAAACCCACCCACAAAAAGAAATTAAACTAACCGAGATCTTTTTTATAAAAATTATAAGTCATCAAAATAGCCTTCATGGATTCAAGATGATTGTTTGTAAGGGTTGAAGATGCTGATGATAATGGATCAGGATGAGGAATATCTTCAACAGCAAAAAATGATATGGTGCGATCAGTCCGAATCACATCCTTCTCTATAAATAAATTTTCACATAAATTCTATGAAAAAAAAAATTATTTGAAATTAATTATTATATATGTACGAACCTATTCTACATTTCTGTTCTTTATAGTTACTACTAGATTGTACTTCAGGATCATCCCACCACTCTCTTTTCAAATCCAAATATTCTTTTCTATAAAATAAATTTTTTTAAATAAATTGAAAAATATCAAAATAACGAATATTAATACATACTTCTTAGCTTCCAATATACTATCTCTTTCTACTCGACTTGAATCCCATGGATAAATACCTAAGAAAAATTTCCATACTTCAATTCTAATGTCATCTTCCACTCCCTTTTAATATGAATAAGAGAGAATATCAATAACTTCATATAATTAAGGAGCAGTACTATATATGTATAACAAAAACTTACACCTCGAAATACTGCCTCTCGTACTTCACTTATTTCTACCCTAAGTCTTCCTTCTGCATCATCAAAAAAAGAAAACCATTTTTCAGCATTAAGAGGTTCAGAGCGACTAGCATGCAATGGCGGTAATGTTGAATCGCCCTAATTTACAGATATTACAATAAAAAGAGATACGTACATATACATATTATAAATTATGAAACAATGGAAAACATCTCTCACTAATGAGAGATATATTTTTGCAAAGACATTACATACGCTCAGAACTTCAAAAGTCCCCACCTCTGTCTCTTCCTCCCAGGGCTTAAGTTCTGTATCAGACCAACGTTTTCTCCAATTATTTGATAAAAGTTGATCTGGATGTTCTAATCTAGCCGCATCCTCAGCTTGCTCGGCAACATTTAAAGCCCATTTCGCCAGATAAAGTCTTCCTGCATCATATTCTTCAACTGTAGGATCCGATTGTAGAAGATTATTAACTCCAGGAGGAAGGTGCGGTACGATAGGGCGTGCTAATGGATGCTCAAGTATATTTGCTATCGAAATATAAAATTTTGTAATTAGACATGATAGTTCAATAATAGTTAATTAATAAATAGTTAATTAAAAAAAATAAGCCTAACCGGCAGTATCGCGAGAAAAACGAGCAACTTTGGAGAACCGTTCTAAAACGTTCCATTTAACAGTCTAATAATAAAAAAGTTTATTTAAATACAAGGTATTTTATAAAATCGTATGTGTTAAAGACAACACACCTCAATATGTTCCATATTGATTGGTGCCAGTTATAAGATCAACGATAAAGAAGAACTCCGGACAAGGTTTTTTATGTTCAAATGAAGATAATAATGATTCAGTTATAATTATTCCGTTTTGTAGATTTTATCCGCTGATCCTCTGTACGCATTTTTTTTTAGATCACGTGCATAGTCATGCATCTGCAGTGTAATGTTTTGACGTAATCCGTGATATCCAAATTTTACCTTAAAAAATTTAGCATTTCTTAGCAGAAAAGAAGAAAAGAACACTCATAATCATAATCAAAATCAAATTTGATTCATTCATTGTTCCACAATGGAGAGATCTTATTGCTATTTATGTGTTTTATTACTCAAATCCCCCAATAATTCCCCAACAATTCCCCGGTGAATTAAAATTATTTTGGCGGGTTATTTGACCCCCTCGTCTTTCCTTTTCTTATTTATAAAAATTATAATATAAGTTGTAAAATTCCTGATATTTTTATTAGTCTTATTAGGTGTACATTTGTTCTTTTTAAAATATATTCAAAAGTGTAATTGAAACAATGCTAATTCTTAAGCAGTTTACCACTCTAGTTGCAACGACTTGTATTGAATTATTAGTACAAAGCGTGAATGCTGCATTACCAGATCCCCGGTGGGGTCATGCGGCAGTGCTTTTAAGAAACAAGTATGTATTGATTTTGGTCGTATACCTTAAAAGATCATATGTAGGGAAATGGTTTATTATCATTTAATTCCGATTGATATTCATAAAACTTTTCGTTTTGAATTTAAACAGGGTTTAACTATTGAATAGAATATTAATATAATATTTTTCTTTTTAAATTATTACAGCTTATATATTTATGGAGGAAAAGTGGGATTGACTAGAGAAGCTGATCTTAATGATACTAGCCAAAATTCGAATCAGCTTCTTATGCTTAATGTATCAGACTCTTTCTCGGTATCAGATCCTGGATGGATGACACGTTTCGTGGGCCCAAACGTTGCATATCATACACTTAGTATAGGTGGATCACAAAATGAACTTTTAGTGTTATATGGTGGAGAATATGCAAATTCAACTGATGAACAAATACTAGAAAATCCATTATTTTATTACGATACTTTAAATTCATCTTCCGTTTGGGACAATGCTGGCTTAAGTTTGGGAACACCACGGATGTCACACACTGCTGTTACAAAATTAGATAAATCCATAAATTATTTTTTTGGTGGCATACCTAATGTGTCTAACTCTTTAATTTCATCACAAGTTCAATTTCAGGATTTATTTAAATTGGACACAAAAAATAATTTATGGAGCCTCCAAGCTACAGATCCAAATACACCATCAGGAAGATTTCATCATACTGCAACGATTCTTTCAGATGGAAAAATGTATGTAATTGGAGGGTATTCCAAAGATGAATTGGTAGATATGAGTCAAATTTATGTTTATGATACAATAAATGCAAAATGGGATGTTCAGGTATTTTGACGTTTAATGAAAGAATTTAAAAATTTCAAATGATAGATATATTTGACTTATAAATTCAATCTTAAGACTGCAGGTGGTAAGTTGCCAACAGCACGTAGAGCCCATGTTGCCGTAGGAAGTAAGTTGAGGCTTGATTAAAACTGGTTAAAATATTTTATTTCAAAGTTTAATTAAAATAACTATATAATTCATAGCACATGACGGTAAAGTGATCATACATGGTGGTGTTAACATAAATTATAATGTGTTATATGGGGATGTTGCGGTTTTAGATACAACACAATCACAATTTGTCTGGAGTTTAAAAGAAACAAAAGGAGCTGTTCCTCCAGCAAGATATTCTCATACAGCTACCATGGTTGGAACTAATATGTTGATTGCGTTTGGTATGTATTAATTTACAAATATTTTTCCATATACATTCATAATGTGTTCATATGATATTTATGCTTTATTTCTTTAAACAATGTCCAATAGGGTATTTAGCGAATGATGTTTCTGACAATAACATTTATGTCCTTGGTAGATATTATTTTATCTCGGTTCTTATTGTGATTAAAATTTAGTTCTCCCTCATAAATGATTTTGATTTTTGTTTATTTTAGATACGACCACATTCACATGGAAAGAAAATTATACTCCAAATAATTTGGATTATACAAATACAATACCCCATAGTGGCGTTTCACAGGAACCCTCGTCTTCAAAAGCTGGAACAATAGCAGGATCAGTAATAGGAGTAATATCCTTTTTTTTGTTGATTGGTGGTTTATTTTTGTTTTATCGTAGACGAAAGCGGAATGCCTTTTACGCAGCACCTTATTCGAGCACAGGGGAACAACCTTCAAATCAAGATAAATCAAAAAAATTTAGTATATCATCTGGATCCACTGCTGTTGAAGAATTACCACGACTAAGCATGGCTGGAACTTCAGAGAATGGTGCACATGGAAAAGATTATACTACGATATTAGAAGAAAGGATGATGGATAGTGATGTTCAGCAGTCAAATTTTTTGATTGTTCCCAAATCGACACTACGTGTTACAAATCCAGACAACAATTAAGCTGAATTTAATTTAATATCTAACGTAAATGCAGGGTGTGTCATATAATGATGACAAATATCAAAAAATGACGATGTCATATCAACATCCTAACCTTGCCAAACGTAACTCCGCAGTGCAGGATGCATTCGAATTCTCTTGAACTTTTTATATGTAAATTATAATTTGTATTTTATAATCTAAAATAATGTATTTTAATAATATTTTTCCGTTAACCCTATTAAACCTATAACCCTGATATCTAAAAATGTTTGTTACGTAATTAACGTAACGCGTTAACGCGTAGTACCTTATTTAGCATAAGACTATTTGTAATAACCAAGTTTGGCACGTAAATCATCATCCCGCCCACTCACCTGCCAACTCCCCAAAAGTTCAACAAATATTTAAATAAATAATCATTCAAATTTAAAATTTAAATTTTTCGTTTAAAAAAACAAAGCAAATGACTGACTTATTAGAAAAACCTATACTTGCACAAGAAATAAAGACAACATACGACAATATAGAACTAAAAACTATACAGTAAATGTGCAATTTTTTTTCTGGTGTAAAAAAAAATTTTTTTTGATATCCTCTTCGCGAACTTTAGTATATATTTTAATTGACTTGTTACTCGATACATGTTAGTGTATTTGCTGGAACATTCAATGTTAGCGGACAAGACGCGACCGAATCCCTTTCACCTTGGCTTCATTGTGATTACGATATCGACGTTTATGCCATTGGGTTAGTTTTTACAAAACCGAAATATTTTGTAAATTAACATTAATCAAATCATTACAATTTTAGATTTCAGGAATTAGGTTTAACTATGGAATCGTATATAGGAAGTGATATTGAGAGAGAATTAAAATGGACCGATGCTATCATGCAAGCATTAGGTGAAAATAAGGCTAAGAATTATTGGAAGGTATGTGGGTTTTATTAAATTCAGCATCTTTCTTAAATTACGCAAATTTAAATTTCTCGTATCGCTTTAGATCATGTCAAAAAAACTAGTCGGTATTCTTCTTATAGTATTGGTAAAAAAAGAGCATGCTCCATATATTAAAGACATAAGGACTGATTATGCTGGTATTGGAATAATGGGCGTGATGGTATGGATTTATAGGCAAGCACAATATGGGGAAGCAAATTAATGTGGCCCTTCTTTTTTCCTCCTTGATTCTTATAAAAAGATGTAAAGCGCTTATTAATTATTAATTTAATTTAGGGTAATAAAGGTGGTGTTGCCATTCGATTCCGATTTTATGATTCATATTTGTGTTTTATGGATTGTCACTTAGCAGCTGATCCTAATGGATTAGAAAGAAGAAATCAGGATTATATGGATCTTTGTCAACGGATGACTTTTCCTATCAATACTGAAAATTATTCAACATTGTATGGTTGGGTTGGTGACTATATACCTCCATATGCTAAAAACGCAGTTGCTGGTATAGGAGGGATGGTGGGCATTACAGGTATGATGACACCTAACGAGAATATTGTGGGAGCTGGTCAGGTTATGCCTATATTTGATAACGAGTAAGTAGTTTATTTTTTTTAATTTTTTTTACTTTTCACAAAAGCTATAAATATATTGACATATTCTCAGCCATTTGATTTGGATGGGAGATTTAAATTATCGTATAGAAAAAATACCAGAATTAGAGGTAAAATCTATGCTGGAAAATAATGAAATGGAAATATTGTTGAATTATGACCAAGTATGTTTAACAACATTGTAAAGAAGCCTTATTATAAAAGTGATAATAATATTTTTAATTATTTTATTCTATTTTATAGCTCAATAGGGAAAGACGGATTCTTAAACAGGCATTTGCTGGATTTGAAGAAGGACCAATCACCTTTCCTCCTACTTACAAATATGATCCTGGAACAAATATATGGGATACAAGGTAATTTATTTTTATAAATTTTACTATTTATATGATATAACTAATTTAAAAAAATTAATTCAGTGAAAAGAAAAGGACTCCTGCATGGACTGATAGAATATTATGGAGAAGCCAAAAAAATGAATGGTGTAAACAACTTAGTTATAAAAGTCACATGGAAATTACATTTAGCGATCATAAACCTGTGAGTGCAACCTTTGAAATGAAGGTAAGCCTGATTTAGATTAAACAAATGCAAGTTGATTTTCTTTTTTTTTTTTTAAAAAAAAAATCTTTGTTTCCTTAAATATAGCTTAAAGATTGTGCGCATATCGAAGATGATGATAAGATCATACATGACGATGTGATCATATTAAAAGACAACGGGTGTGATGGGCATGACTCCGATTAATTAAATAGTAATTACATAAGTTTACATATAATTTATAATATAGATTAAATACAAAAGATAAAGGAATTATTAATTGAACAATTTATGGGTTATTTTTATTCGAGTTATTAAATTTTATTTTATTTCTTATGTATTTTAAATAGATATTTTCAGAAATTAATTAATTAATAAAAATGAGCAATTGTGAGAAAACATCTCATAGCAGATCTTTCTGACCAAAATACTTTCTTACAATAATAATTATCATATCCAAGGAAGCCAATGTAATAAGATCTTCCTTATCGGTCTGTTTGAGTAAAAATGATTAATATGAGCAAAAATCTTGATAACTAAAACATCGAGAATACTACCTTTTGTCGAATTTGAATGCACTTCTTACAGAGTTGTCTTAAAGTAGCCATCTGATTAGGCGTCAAGAGTTTGTCAACACGCAAAAGCAACGCAAAAAGCCATTGAGATTGTGCAATCGTAATCCCATTGGATAACCACTTTGTATGATATAAAAGAAGTGTAATTGTTGTGGACTATAAAAAATTAATTCAAATGAGAATTTGAAAAATAATTAAATTAGAAATAAATAGCTTGCCGTACCTGATCTATTCTTGACACAATACTAACACGCGGCAATGTCATCTCATTTACATCACCTTCATTTTCCAATCCTTTACCTTCTACAAAATTCGGAGATTCTATTATTCCATAACAATATTTAAGCCATCCAGCTTCATCATTTCGTGCTGGGAACTTGATAGAAGATTTATTTTGTGATGACTTTAAGTTCTTCCGTATATGCTTTTCTAATCCCTTACTTCGCAGCGATAAGAATAGTCAAAATCAAAAAAGTAAATTAACAATTACAAAATTCAGTAAATTTAACACGCGAGTTAACTGTAGTAGTGTGACGTAAAGGATAAGTGTTTTTGTGGTGATTGAGTTCATGTAAAGATTGGGGAATCTGATAGAATGGTAACCAACCTGTCTTATTAAATCAAATTTCATTAAAAATATCTTTTCCCATTCTTCATTTACCAAATTATTTGAATTTTGATCAAAATTATCAAGTTCCATTTGATTGGCCCAGCCCCTTTTAACCCATCCTGCCATTCTAACTTCTTTAGACTTATTTATTTGATTTTTAGCTATAACGACATTAGGCCTTTTATTAGCTTCTGACCTTACCATACGCAAATATTCCTCTCCTGTTGCTGGTGGTCTATTTGGTAAAGAGTTTCCAGAAACAGGAAGAGCTTTTTGTATTAATTCTTCATCTTCTTCACATAAATCCTCTTCAAATTTGTCTTCAATTGAAAGCGTAGCAAGTTGTTCCATTGTTAACTTAGATAATCTTTGGTTCAGTTTTTTAATTTTATCATTTGGACCAATCAATAGTAGCATGTGAAACTGGCCGCCAGTTAAAATGTAAATCGCGCATGTGAAAAATTGCATAATTGGTTAAGGTTCACAAGTCCTATAAACTTTGTGAAGGAATGTTCATATTCTAGGTTTCGTCTTTCCTTAATTTCTAGAATTCTTGGAATTCTATAACAAGAGTAGGTATTATAGTTCGGATGCAATAACACATCATTAACCGCGCCTTTAATTGTCTCAATACTCAAAAGTCAGAGAGTAAGCATTTTTAAAGATTCCTGTAAAAGAAAATTACAAGTAATGAAATATATTCCCGAGGAAGAAGGAAATAATACTGCAACATTCCTTTCCGGTTTTCGTTCACTTTGTAATGATGCGGAAATTTTATGACTTTTTAGTACATATGTATCACATTTTCCTATAATAATTTTTAGATATATTGCGTGGCAGTTTTAATAAATAAGAAAATATACACGTGATGTTTCACTTTGGAGGACCTTTTCATACTTCCCAAGTTTTCCGCAACATTCCCGACACTCAGCTTTTCTAACATATCATTAGTTCCGGATCTTACAAAGATCTTTTATACTGAAGTTTGTTTCTTTGGCGGTTTTTTCTGGATTTTTAATTTTTATTTTATTATAGTATATGACAACAATTATGTTTATGAATTTTTCATAGATACATTTTCACTATAAAGAAATTTTTATTTGATAATATGCCTGATTATAGTCTATTTTTTACTTCTGAGAATGTTGGAACAAATAGAGGAACAGAATCCAATGCATCAAGATTTTGAAAATTACTTACTGGATTCTATTCAACTGATAGCCTTAAATGAAAATCAATAAAAATTTGACTTATGAATTTACCAACTACAAATGAACAATTTCAACTTGTATTGTATTAATATTGGAAATAATTTAAATACTGTATACGACATCTTTGCATTCAAAGATATCAATACAGGAAAAGTTGTTAGAAATGAGAATTATTTAGGGATATTGGCTTTCTTGTTTGGCAACAATACCAAGTACTTCCCCTTATTAGGAGGTTTATTAATTTTTGAGCATCTTGATATCCCTGTCCGGATTTTTTATACCAATAAATTGCTTGATCTATATCTTTTACAATTCCTTCTCCATTTTCATACATAAGAGCAAGATTATATTGAGCTATACTATAATTTTTTCAATCGCGAATGTTTAAATCGCACAATGTTTTTTAAAAAGGTTCAAAATAATTAAGTTTAATATGAGTCATTTACAATTTACAATTTGAATAAATAAAAGCAATATGCAATTATAACCACTTATTGTAATCTTGGCCTTAATGTGAGTCAAATGCATTTTTAAGTTATAATTTAACCAATAAATCCCTTCCACTGTGAATAAACTTGATTTAATATAATTATTCATTTCATTTAAATGACCGAGTCATTTGTACTTTTGTGTCATAGATTTAAATTTAATTCAGGCCAAATTCATGATGCCGGCAGAATTACAAATTTATAACATCACGTGATCTAATTTTACACGAAACAGTCGAAACCATCAATAAAAAAGCGAGATACTGCGGCTACGCCAACTTGTATAAATTGATTATGGGCTTGTTCTCATTCTTTCATAAGATCATCGAGCCATTCAGCACTTAAACGGCTCTCTAGAATACCACGACGCAATAGCTCTTCACAAATCAACCCCCTTTTATTCTCATAATTCGAAAAAGATAAAGGTTCACAAAACTTCGAGAATTGTGGTTTTCACCTGAGATCTATGATCGAAAATTTCTCAGGAACGATACCATGTTCAACGGCATATTGATAAAGACATTTCATTTTATTTAGATTAGTCCTAGGAATTGGTCGACGGGATGGAGGTGAAACTTTTACACATTACTAACAAGGAGATCACATGATATATTCAAATAATTTTGCAATATGTACACCAATCTGTAAAGCTAATCTGTGTATCTTTTTTTATTAAGAATTAATATTAAGCTAAAAATTTAAGAGATGATTAATTAGGATGTTTAGTAATTAATATATAATACAAATTATAATGCATTAAAGATTTTTTCTATTGATATTTCATTGATAAAATTATATGTGCATAGCTTCTCGCACTAAAACTTGAAGCTCCCAGAGGTCCAAATTATATCCAGCAGCAAACCCTACTGGAAGGTTATTTTGTGGAACTCCGTTATATAATTCTGTTCCTGGAATATTCATTATATATGTCGGGATGTTAGCTGCATTGCAAGGAGGAAAGTTAATGTTATTGTTGTTAGGATCAGGACGCCCTACACCAATAAAGCTACCAGGAGGAACACCCATTTGACCTGTAATATAGTTTTCAGTATTTATATCAGGATTTGCCGTCCCAAAAGAAATGACACTAGTTGGAATAAGCGGGGTTGGACTTGTACGAAGGTACAATGCAGCAATAAGTGCAATAGTGCTAGTGTTTGCAAGAGCATTTGTACGAACTCCAAAAATCTTGATGGCTAACACAATCTGGATCGTGGTTAGTGGATTGAAGTAGCGAGCTGCTGTTCTATGAAGATCAGGAAGGTTCTGAGAAAAACCAACCTCAATCATCATTGTTGGAAACGGGTTTCCATAAATATCTGCAGCTAGTGCACCTTGTGGTGGTGGATTACGATGTTTTGGTCGGACGTAAGCATCTGGTTCTTTATTTCTACCCTGACCCAAATTTGTGTTTGCTTCAGTACCGTATCGAAAATCCTGTCTGTTCCATGCGGCCAACATTCCAATGATCTCTCCTGTTACTTCTGCATGAGGAGTGGAAGGTACTTCATATATTATAATTTTCCCATCCCATAAGTACATGCGAACTGAAGCATGCACATTATTTTCACGATAACGGAGATATTCTTCAAGTGATACGTTTTCTTTTATAGTTATCTCCCTTGATCCTGTATATCCCTCTTCTTCCTCTTCTTCAACTTCTTCCCCTTCTTCTCGGGCTTTTTGGAATGTGAGCAATTTTTCTCTTGCTGATTCAATAGCCGCGGAGGATAAGTGAAGCCTTGTAGGCGGACGTGTAGGTTGGCTAGACTGGGAAGAAAGTTGGCCAGAATCACTAGACTGAGAGGTAAGTTGACTAGACTGTTGATTAGACTGGGAACGCGTGACGCGATAAGGAAAATAACGAACTCCTGAGTCTGAAATTACAGTACTAGTTAATAGACTTTATTTAAATGAGAAAACTGTCATCTTACCATCTGTATTGTTACGGTAATTTGAGGCCATAATTTACATATTTTTAGAGCGATTGTTAAGAGATTTCTTTGAATCAGAGGATATTTATAAGAACGATTGTCGCACAGATTTAGTAATAATCACATGACATCAAACATAATGACTATATACTCGAGTTCCTAGCCATGGCGAAAAAAAAGTGACTTACACGTGACTTTTGGCCCGCATTACGGGTTATGCACTAACACGTGAAATAACCGGTGACGAATAAGAGGTGACGAATAAGATTTTACCTACTCGAAAAAAACGTGTCCTTCAGATAAATATAAAAAGTGGAAACGCGGTGGGGTGTGACGGTTGTAATGAATAAAATGCAGACACGTGTCAGTCACTTTTTTTTCGCCATTGCTAGGGTTGTACAAGTTCAAAAAACTACCCAGAAAATTCTTCGATTACATGACAATTTTTGCTGATCATTTCCTACGGGGTGTTTGAAAACTACCCCACCAAAAAATTTTCGGTAATGGGACTTTGTACTACTAATCTAAAAATAGTAGATATATCAATATTCTTACTTCTCAGTTTTCACCCCAACTGTTTTGTATTTGTGTATTTTTCCAGTAATTCACTTTGAAATATATATTATTTTTTTTTATTATAGTTTATTTTATTCTATTTTCTTAAACTTATTGTATTTTATTTTTTGTGAAATAAAAACACGCTTTTTATATTAAATACAAAATTTATAAAATTTATTTACAACCTTGGAAGTATAAAGGTGAACTATCAAGTTTTGAATAAGAATAAATTTCCATTTAATACATTATAAAAATTATCTTTTTATTAATAACATAAAGATTTATTGTTAAATTTCTAAAATAATAAATAATTTATTCACTTATTTTAATTAAAAAAAAACTAACAATAAATTTTATAAAGTAAAAAGAACTATAACTAATAAGAATATTTAAATAAATGTTTCTTTATATTTTTTTTTTATAAAAACTACAAGTATTTTAAGATAAATGTCTCTTCACTATTTTTTTTTCTTGAAAAAAATTGCAAAAATTTTTCTAAGATAATATTGTATATAATAAATCTGGCCAATAAAACTCATCAAGCCACGTTACCAAAAATTTTTAGTGGTGTTTTTGAGATAGTTGTGTTTAAATACGGATTATGTGAAATATAATGACCACTAGTTGAACAATGTCAAATTAGGGACTAATCAGGTGATTGAATTCCATTCAATTGGTCCCTATTTTTTTTCAATTTTAATAATTAATAAATCTGATTGCTATTAAAAAATGGCGTAAAAGGAGAATACTCAGGTTTTAATCAGAATATTCAATAGAGTATAATCGGGTATTAATAGTTACCAATAGGATACAGTCAGACCTCAATGTACTAATATTCTATATACCAATAATTGCCTGTACCAATAAATTTTTGTTGTCCCATTTCACAATTAATAAAAAAATCTCATTATACTAATATCATATATAATTTCGTAATGTAACATGTATTGATACTCACCCTTTGTTTTTTTATAGTAGTCTATAGTAAAATACAGTATATTGATTTTTTTTTTTTTTTNTTTTTTTTTCTTGAAAAAAATTGCAAAAATTTTTCTTTTTTTTTTTTTTTTAATGTTTAGGAGACATCAGCATAGCCGGCTCACCAAAGCTACGTGGAGAGAGCATTACAACGTCAGTTGCAGTAACATACTCCTACCGTTGAGCAACAGATAACCAAGCAACCTACTCTAATTATTAGAAGTAACCGGATGTTCATCCCCCCTACCCCCTATATACCACACTGGGAAGACGACCCAAGTTTAAACCCAACATGGATCGTAGTGTAGCAGGGTTTCTGACATGGTTATACTACCCACTAGCACCCGTCAGAAGTGAGCAACCACCCACGTACGGCAGATATAACTAAGCAGACATCTAGAAGTCCTTCCATGATGGTTAGCTTAGAGGTACTGCAATACTAAGACTACTAATATGGCCTCACTCAAAGCCCACTACAGGTCGCGATTACCATACCAGCCCACCATAGTTGTAAATCCTTCAGTAGTAATAGTAGTGACTACCAGGACAGTAAGCTGCTAAGGGTACTGGGATCACCCCTTTTATTATAAGTAACCAACCCAGTTACTCAGAGATCACCCACCAGTACGTCAAATTCACTGAGGAATTGAACCTCACCTTAGAACCTTATATACCTGTAAGCCCACGAACGTCTCCAATCAGCCTAAACCTATTAGAAGGTAAACTACTGCTAAGACATTGCACTTGAGACTTTACCATCTATGAGGACCATCTAGCGTAGTAAACCCCCACAGTAAAGTTTACCACACCCTTAGTGGTATTGTAGAGTGACCACCAAGACAAGAGCTCACCCAGATGGTATGCAAGCAGTGACCATCCAGACAGGACAATAGGCTTCCCAATGGCCTCATAGGGAACGCTAGGAGGACACCATGACCCTTTGTTGAAATATGCCGCCGACCGGTACATACTAATTCACCATGATGCAGTCCAGCCTACACTAATCCCTGTACCTTTACACTATTGGTAGTAGTGTCCACAGTAAAATTCTTTAATTTCCGTGATCAGTGGAATCGAACCTGTGACCTCACCATACTCAGGCTTCATAAGGGGACTCACGGACTAACCAATGAGCCAAGGGTGATCAACCCTAAAATACAGTATATTGATATTTTAGATTACACTGATTTAATTCAGATCAGCACTATAAACTTAACCTGAATTAACAAGAGGATTTCTATCATTTTATTCAAGTAATTAAATTTTTTAGCTTTTGTTTCAACACAAAATATAAACAACTTTTGTTTCATGAAATGTATGTTAATAAGAAGCTATAATTTAATCTTTAAATTAACTTAGAGTTTGCATAATGCCGACAAAAATTAGACTTTAGCCTGCATTATGATTTATTATGTAATGATAATTTGATGTAACAATATATTTTACCCAAACCAGTAGTATCAGTATATTGAGGTCTGACTGTACAGTCAAACTTCGATATACTGATGCTTCCGGTTTGGGAAAAAAGTATCGGTACATTGAAATATCGGTACATATATGTAATTAGTGGATTATAATGCAGGCCAAAATCTAACTCTGGCTCGCACTATACTTAATTCCAAGTCCAAAATTTCCAAAATTTCTTGAATATATTATGTATAATGTGAATATGATTATAGAAAAAAATCCAATTCCAGACATAATTAAGAATGATGCTCAAATTTTAAAGTTACAATTTTTTAACTCAGGCCAAACTTATAGCACTGGTCAAAAACCAGGCAAACGTGGCATAGTAGCCTTTATCTTTATTAAATTTATTCGAATTTTACAATATACAAAAAATTAAAAGGAAAAATATAAAAATAAAATTAACTAAAAACAAAGCTATATAGTCTCCTAAGAAAAAATAAAGTAAAAAATTAATCTAAAAAAGAAAAATCGCATTACACTAAATTTCCCCAGATCNTAACTAAAAACAAAGCTATATAGTCTCCTAAGAAAAAATAAAGTAAAAAATTAATCTAAAAAAGAAAAATCGCATTACACTAAATTTCCCCAGATCTTCCCCCTTGATATATTCCAACCAAAGTAGAAGCAACTATGCTAACGAAATAACGAATAGCGCACCCACTATAAAAGTCGACACTCCATCCTGCAAAAGCTGTTATTAAGTAGCACCGTTAGACGACCCATAAAACCCGAAAAGTGATTAAACCAAGGCAATCCATATTTCATCGAGTTCTTCAACCAATCAGTTCCGGAGTCACGTGAATCGTGTAGGGTCGGAGGTGGTAAAGATGAGTAAGGTATGTACACTGACAAAGGCAAATTAGATGGCTTCGGAGTAGTTTTCAACTTATAGGTAATGTTCATCGCGTTTTCCCATTTACTTTTCTCATAAGAACGCGGATTCCAAATTCGTTTTCTGAATTTCTGAACAAAATTGTTATGAATAGCAGCGATAACCTTTATCGCAGAAATTCCTGGAATGGATAAATCGACAAATAAGTCGACGAAGAGTTTGGGTAAACAACCACGGGCAAGGGCATAGGAGGACCAATTTGTAGAAGAAAAGGACCAGCAAGAAAGAGAAGTGAGTTTAGCAATAAATGGAGTAGGATCAATATCAGCCAAATTTCCTGCTTCCAGAATTTTGGAAATCAAATGTTTTTGATAAGATCGGAGAATTTGTTGCATAGGTAGACGTCGTCTTTTGCACATAAAAAGGTGCATCAGGTCTTCCATGCAGTCGATACAAGAACGGCAAGTTAATTCGTCCATGTATAAGTCTGGTCGGGTCTGTTTAAGCTTTTCCAATGTAGGCAAATCATCCAAGAAAAGTTTGAATTTAAAGGTTAGGTGTCTTGAAGCGTGTTCAGAAGTAAAAGATGCATCATGAGAGGGCTTAAAATTTAAAGTAAACCAAGTAAGTTCCCAGTCAACAATATAATCTATATTAGATGACAATAAAGAGGTAAAGTGAAATCGCGTTAAATTTAACAAATCACGCATTAATTGCGTTTGATAATATTGTTTGAGAAGGTGTTGCGGATTAGATTCACAGACGACATCATTGTCATAAATTAAGACAAAATCATGGGCAGAAGCAAGGTCCATGCCAGAAATCAAAATACTGGATGACGCAGTATGAGCAATGTTGGTCAAGGAATCAGCAAAATCATTTAAATAGTTGCCAGAGTGAGCTTTGACTTTAACAGGAAAAACTGTCAAATTTTTGGAAAGGATGGTTCATTCAATAATAGCCTAAAGTTCAAAATTTGTTGTTTTGTAGTAAAGGCGGCTATTTGAGTACACATAGGAAGAACAACTTCGAAGGCCGTCAATGGCAGTCTGCGAGTCAGTATAAATAGTAACATCTGAGTCGCGAGGAGAGATGGTTAAAACTGCGTAAATAGCGGCAGCTTCAGCTCGAGAAGAAGAAGGATTATCTCGAATAAGGCCGTGAGTATAAGTGGCAATGGAGTTAGGAAAACCTGCATCAGGAACAATTTGCA